CGGGTTTTTACCGGGCTGTTCCACCACAACCCTACTGGTTGATTCTACTTTTGATTGGATAACTGCTTTAAATAACGGACAATCGGTAGATATCATATACTTTGACTTCTCAAAAGCTTTTGATAAGGTAAATCATAGCAAACTCCTACACAAGCTAGAAAACTACGGCATAAGAGGGACTCTCCTGCCTTGGTTAGCATCTTACTTACATGATAGGGGAATGACTGTTCGTGTTGGAGAAGACTTTTCAGATCGTTATCATTGTAGTAGTGGAGTACCCCAGGGTGGCATTCTCTCACCGTTGCTTTTCCTTATTTACGTCGCGGAATTGCCTAACTATCTGAAAACCCATCCGAATCTGAAAATTCAGATGTTTGCAGACGACATTAAAATATATTTTTGCTACGACCTCGATCAACAGAGTGAAGCATTCACGGCGGTCTCTTCATCCATAAAAAGGATGGAGATATGGTCTAGAGAATGGGGTATTCCTGTAAATGCCTCCAAGACTATGGTAATGCACCTTGGGAATTCCCAGTGTTGTACGTACAACTACAATGGTATCAATCTGGAAATCTCTAATTCAGTTCGCGATCTTGGTGTTATGATAGAGAATTCTCTTACTTTTGATACTCATGTAAATACTGTCATAAAAAGGTTGTCTTCAGCGCTTTTTACAATTTTTAGAAATATACATAGTAATGATCCGGAAATTCTCTTGCGATTGTACAAAAGTTACGTGTTACCTCATCTTGAGTATGCATCGCCCATTTGGAGTCCATTTTTGAAAAGAAATATTGATAAAGTTGAAAAAATTCAAAAGACTTTCACGAGGATTCTTTTTTATCGATGCTTTCCCAATCCAGGATATCCTCATGCCTTACCCTCCTATCGTACCCGTCTCGATATGTTACACCTCCATAGTCTGAAGTATAGGCGTGTTGTTAACGAACTTGTACTATGCTTTCTGATTCTGAATTTGGAAACTAACCTAAAAGCCAGTAAATACTGGTTTTTTAGACCGTGTAGTGACCGGACAGGTAGGTTTGGTTTGCAATATCGCAAAATAGGAAGAAAACATCTTTCGATGACTTTCAATTCCTTTTGCTATCGAACATCAAGATGGTTTTCTGCATTACCAAATCATATCATATCCAGTGAAAACTCCAAAATTTTTCGTAAAAAATTGTTAGATGTGAATGTGCTTCAGCTTCTTGATATTTCTGATTTTTAGATGAGTCTTGTTCGGATGTGGTGCTTGTGTTCTTCGTACTGCCTCAGTTCGTCCTTCTATCGTTTGACGCTATGCTTTCTGCTTTCTGGTTCGCTTCGTTTGGATAGTCCACAACAAGGATAGGATAGAGAATGACTGCTATTTGCATTGTTTGTTGTGTTACTAAACATAGTGCTTCCACTAATGAGATCAGCCAGTCTCACTCACAGCATATCCCTCACCGTAGCCCAGTCCCACCCCCACCTCTGTCGGATATCAGTCGCGCATAGTTGTTAGTTCATCCCTACAACTCCCAGTGAATCTTGCTCTCTTCTAAAGCAACTATTCAGCCGAGGTTACGTCAGCTAGCTTTCACCGGGGGGCTCGCTGACACCCAAAAACAGGGTCTTCATTAACTTTAGAAGAAGCAAGATTCTACAGATTGTCTGGACATAGCGCTTTTTCCTTTGGTATGCTGCAATTAATGGCTACATCGTCATTATCGAGCTTCGGTAATTGTCTTGTTTAGTTTTGTTTCCCATTTATATCTCTTCTTGCTTCTGTAACTGAGGATTGGCTGGTTTCTTGTCTTAATTCTGTGTTACCTTGATTTCCTGTTCGATTTTGATTTTTTTAATGGTGCACCGCGAGTGTATGCATAAAATAAAATAAAAATATATAGTCGCACTTACAGAAACATGGTTGCATGGCGATGTTAGCAACTCTTGTTTGTTCGGTGACTCTTGTTTTGCCTATACAATATTTAGATGTGATCGCGAGAATAAAAGAGGCGGAGGAGTTGCTTTTTTGATCGATAATGAATTATGTCCACACTCGGTTTTTCATGAGTCAGTCATTGATAGTTATGAAGTATTATGCGAGGATATCCTGACTCGTTACGACCTAATACGTCTCATACTAGTGTATAGAGCCCCATCCTGTTCTGTTCGCTACTCTTATCAGTTGACAAAAGCTTTATCGGATCTGATATCGTGCAATCATTCTTCTGTTTTACTTGGTGATTTTAACTTTCCTGGTGTTGATTGGGGAACTGAACCGCCCTTGAGGATTACTCCTGCCGCGAGGTCCTTTCTCAGTATGTGTGAAAGCCATCTGCTTTTCCAAAGAGTCTCAAGAAGCACTCTGGGGAAAAACATTTTGGATTTGGTTTTCACCAATAAAGATGACCTGGTTACTAATGTTAGACTGTGTCCACCGGTCGGGTCCAGTGATCATGCTACAGTTAGCTTCTCCTTGCGCTGCCGAACTAAAACTCGTGCTACATTTTTTGTCAAAAGGGACTATAAAAATGCTGATTTGACGGGTGCTGTCCGTTATCTCGAAAATGTTGATTGGTTTGGTTCTTTTAATATTGTTAGTACAGCCGACGAAATGTATGAACTATTCATTTTTGTCATCCATCATACTATTGATCAATTTGTACCGTTACGTAGGGTCCCAGTTTGCAAAGTCCCACTCCCTCGGCACATTGTCTCCCTCTCTCGTTTTCGTGCAAGGGCGTGGCACAAAGCCAAGTTTAGTGTTGGTCCTGGGGCATCAGATCTATATAAGAAAGTCAATCAAAAACTCGAAAAGAGGTTGAAAAAATACTATGCAAATTTGGAAAAAAAGATAGTCTACGCTGGTGATAGAACAGGCTTTTACAAGCTCCTCAATGCTAGACTAAAGGAGAGGAAAAAACTGGGTGTTATCAATTCTAACAATGGTACAGTTCTGTATTCGAACTCGGATAAAGCTGAATGTTTTGCTGACTTTTTTGAGAGCACTTTTGTGAAGCATCAATGTAATGCCCTACCTCAGGTTTCTACTCCTTGCTTCGAGGTAATGGATGGCTCAATTTATTTTGATGACAGAATAATTTATGAGGCGCTTCGTAAATGGCCCACATCTAAGTCCTTAACTCCAGATTTTATTCCGCTTCATTTTATCAAAGAGATAGCCCACGTGATATCTTAGCCTCTACAATTCTTATATAACCTTAGCTTGATGAGGTCCGAGGTCCCTAACAGATGGAAGGTCTCGTTCGTGACGCCCGTCCCCAAAAGAAAACCTTACACTTATGTATGCAACTACCGTCCTATCAGCATTACGTCCATATTTGCTAGACTATTTGAAAAAATAATCAAAAAACAAATAATAAATCATCTAGAGAATCATGGAATTATATCTACTGCGCAGCATGGGTTTCGTCAGGGGAAGTCTACTACTACGGCAATGTTGCATTGCTTGAACGACTGGACCCGCTATTTAGACGCTGGACAGGGCGCTGATATCATTTATCTGGATTTCACCAAGGCGTTTGATAAAGTTCATCATCAAAAGCTTTTGCATAGACTATTGGTAGTTGGAATACATCCTCGTATTGTGTCGTGTATTGAAGCTTTCCTGTCCAACCGCACTTTTCTAGTTTGTGTGAATAATGCATTCTCCAGTCCTAGGCCTATGAGTAGCGGAGTACCTCAAGGAGGCGTTCTGTCCCCCATACTATTCAACATCTATACCTATGACCTGCCTCAACTCGTTTCCTCTTGCGGTGTATCTTGTTGTGCTTTTGCCGATGATGTCAAAATCTATAGTCCAGTAGACGAAATCGGGGACAAACAGAAAATGCAAGAGGCTTTAGATATTGTGATAACATGGTCAAAGGAATGGGGCCTACCGATTTCACAAGAAAAAACCAAAGTGTTGCACATACTCAGGCAGCGGATAGGACCCCTCCGCCGGAGAAATGGCAGGGTCGCGGCGTTTCCCCAGCGGTGGGTCTCCCATTTGTCCGGCGGAGCCCTCCCATTTCTCCGGCGGAGACCTCCCATTTCTGCTCCGGATACCTCCCATTTTCTGCTCCGGAGACCTCCCATTTTCTGCTCCGGATACCTCCCATTTTCTGCTCCGGATACCTCCCATTTTCTGCTCCGGAGCCCCCCGATTTTCTGCTCCGCAACTGCCGCGGCATACTGTAATTAGCCCTAATTAAAGGCAGCTTCCAGGCAGATCTGGACCTATGGGGCTTTTACATGGAAAGTATTTTTGGGGCCTTAACTAAGGCACTGCCAAAGCAGCAGTTCAGGTAGTGCTCTAATGGCGAAGATATTCCCCTCGAAACAGACCCCCCGCGAACGTATTCGCATGGATTCATGGCAGTTTCGCGCCAGGATCCACGCTTTGCGCCATGAATCCATGCGAAACACGGTCGCGGGGTCCGGTTTCGAGCAGAATATCTCCGGCGTTAGAGCACTACTTGAGCTGCCGATTGGGTAGTGGCTTGGTTAGGGCCCCAAAAGTACTTTCCATGTAAAATCCCCATAGGTCCAGACTTGCCTGGACGCTGCCTTTAAGCTCCAAACCCCAATTTTGTCTCTAAACCCTACCCAAATAAGCCGAATAGGACCCCCCCCCCCCCCCGGGTAGGAGTTTAGCGCGACCCTCACCCCGTACTCTACCCCCTCCCTCTCACCCCTAGCGTTTGTGGATAGAAGATAGAAGAAAGAACGAAGAGATAAGACATTTATTTCCAATTTTTCAAACTTTCGAAAAATCTATCTATCTATCTCCAGCATACGTACAACAGTTACTTCATATTACAAAAACCATACTAGGAGTTAGAGATAAGAATATTCAAAGAAAAGCTAATTTCCTAGTTGCAAAAAGAACCTTGTAACACCACAGTATAAGCATATGGTTTTAACATGGTAAGAAAATGACAAAAAGATCAAAAAAGCATTCTGTGCAACATGAAACAAAACAGCGAGGAACGCCATAAACTCACATTTGCAAAGCAGGGACATATTGTCCAAGTTCGATATATACATGAGCTATATTCATCCAAACATCTTCGAATTCCGAGGTAGCTTCACGAACTTGAGCGAAGATGTCACGGGCATCTTGCCACATTGCTTTCGATGCTAATACGCAGCCTAAACCAAAACATACGGTTTTTGATCGAAAAAGAAGTAGAAAATTTCATTTGTTCCGATACGAAACGTACCTATTCCATTTGCTGCCCAGATGTTTTTTGGCTCAATTTTCAACGCTTTACCAAACATCTGTAGAGCTCTATCCATGTACTTCCATTCTTGGGTCTGTAATGATGACTGTTCAGGAAAGATGTGAAAATCAAGGAGAAAAACGCTTGGGGGTTCTTATAATCGCAGAAGAACAATCGTACGATGGTACAGTACTTACACGGTCGTCAGTCTTTTTTCTGCCCATTAAAGAGCATCTCCATCCAGACGTTGCCAAGTGAGACCCATGAGTAAGCATCTTCCTTATCCATCTTATTCAACACTTGTTCAAATTTCTTTTGACCAGGTCCCCATCTGTGAGAAGAGATCAGACAGAAGCAAAACAAAGCTCATTACTCACTCATGTTTAGACATGTGCAGATTTCCGATAAGCACCCATGAATCGGCATTGTTCTGATCAACGGACATACTGTCGTATAGACCTCGACACGATACCCAATTGACATCGTGCGTCAAAAATGCGTACTTGATGTAAAGGCGGTGTACACTACTTACCTCAACCTGTAATTAATATTTTTTCAACTTGTGCTTCCTCCCCATCTCTCTGGAGTTGGGAAAATGACTGAAGAAAGTATTGGTAAAACTGATTGATTTTAATTATCACTACTCGTGCTGAAACCTTATATCGTGAGGGTTATTTATCATGCTGATTCCAAAAATGGTACTCATTTTGCTCGATAGTCGTTTATTTTAGCTGCAGCAGCTGCACGTTACTGAATAGAATCGCTTAGATTCTGTTTAGTTTGTTTTGCACAAGTTAAAAGATGATACTCATTTCGCATATCATCTATTCTATGAATGGGAGACTCGAGACTGCTGTGCACATAATGTCTAAACAATGGTAGAACTTGCTCTTCCGAGTTTCCAAGTCATAAAAATACCTTCAATTTGATAGATTAGTTTGAAAAAAAATTTACCAAACATCATACATTACCTCTTACGCGCTCGAACCTACGATAGCATCGAAAGCCCAGTGAATGTCAGAAGTGATAAAAGTAATTGGAATAGGCTAGAAACATCGGTAATCACGTGAGTAATCTGGAGAGACAGCCTCCTTACCTCTGACCTGCACTTCCACTTGGCACATCAAATAACTCCAAACTTAGCTATGGGGAATCGATGAACGGCTATCAAGCAAAATGAGTACCATTTTTGGAATCAGCATGATAAATAACCCTCACGATATAAGGTTTCAGCACGAGTAGTGATAATTAAAATTAATCAGTTTTACCAATACTTTCTTCAGTCATTTTCCCAACTCCAGAGAGTTGGGGAGGAAGTACAAGCTGAAAAAATACTAATTACAGGTTGAGGTAAGTAGTGTACACCGCCTTTACATCAAGTACGCATTTTTGACGCACGATGTCAATTGGGTATCATGTCGAGGTCTATACAACAGTAACGGATATCGCTTCTTTGAACCACACCGATGATTCATAAATCTGCCCTCGATCGCGTGCAAGACATCCGAGACGTAGATAACCTTTGCAATATGATGCACTAGAATGAGTGCACAGAATGTTAATTTGAAAAAACTTACAATCCGTGTAATTTTCTTCTTCTCTCAAAATGCCTTTGTATAAAACTTCAGCGTCTTCGAACAAGCACAAGTGTTCCAAACATCTAGCGAGGTTGTATCTCATAGTGATGACATAGGAAGAAAGTTTCGAATCGCACAGATCTCCCTCCAAATCTTCCTGTAACGATCGAAGAGAATGAGCGAAGCTAAGCACATGCAACTTACTTGGAGCTTAGCTTCCGCTGCTTCGAAGTACTCCTTCGCCCTTTCATAATTTTCCAAAGTCATGTGCAAGGCTCCGATATTGTTTAAGATAGCAGCTGGCGGATCAATTTGTAAACCATCTTCACTCGTTTTTATGAGATCACAAGCATTTTCATAGAGAGTGAGCGATTTCTAGAAGAGCCGGTTGTCAAAACTCGTAAAATGTAATTGATGATGTAAACTAACATGCGGATCAACTCTTTCCAGAAGCTGAGCAAGATCTATCAAAACTTCAACATCGTTTGGAGTTGCCTCTAAGACTTTTGTCAACATATCTCTTGCCTTGTCCTGTCTTTCAAGCCAAAAACGATATAGTGAGGATCTGCAACGTCTGATGAAAAGTCGATCGACTTGGTAAGCATACGTACGAGAGAGATAGCAATAAACGGATAATTCAGACGATACTTTCATCACAACAACACTATACAGTTGCGCAACTAACCTCATTGTTTCGAAAATCCAGAATTAATCACAAAAACCACTCCATCAATAGTCTACGATGACTCAGTAAGTCGGAAAGAGCCAAACACTGAAGGTGATTGAGTGCAACCGCACGAAAATTTGAAACATAAACCTGAAAATGAGGAACTTACAACAACATAAACGCCAACGCGACGAAGAGCAACGCGGAAAAGAAAAAAACGGTGAAGAAACGCGCAAAAACAACAAAATCAAAGAAACGGCGACTAAAATATGGACAAAGAGCGTAAACAGAGGACTCATCACCGTGGAGTTAGACGTTTGCTTGCTACGCGCCAAATCGATACGCAGCCTGCTCCGGATACCTCCCATTTTCTGCTCCGGATACCTCCCATTTCTCCGGCGGATACCTCCCATTTTCTGCTCCGGATACCTCCCATTTTCTGCTCCGGATACCTCCCATTTTCTGCTCCGGAGGCCTCCCATTTCTGCTCCGGACCCCTCCCATTTTCTCCGGCGCGGCTCTTCCAAATTTGGCGGACTCGCGCCGGGCAAATTTCTCCGGCGCGGAGTCCACCAAATCTGGCAGAGTCGCGCCGGAGAAATGGCGGACCTTTGCAGCAGGGCCGGAGAAGCCTCCCACTTGCCTGCCAGTAATGTCACCGCGATGGACCGCCCATTTGCCCCTCTCTCATTGGTCAACTGGGTCCGTCGCGACTCTGGCAGTTTCGGACTGTCCGGCGGAGGGGTCCCGTCGATTGTCTGAGTAGGAGCTAGTAATGTTGAGTACACATATCAGCTAGATGGTAAGCCAATAGAATATGTAAATGAGATACTTGATCTTGGCTTCTTGGTTGATGATAAGCTCTCATTCAAGAAACATTGTGCGAAAATTGCTGCCAAAGGAGCGGCTGCGGTGCACAATCTGTTTAGAGCTCTTACAACCAATGACATAGATATCTTGATTCGGGCTTACAAGGTATATGTTAGGCCCTTACTCGAATATGGTACGGTTATATTTGATCCCACTACACATATCGCCAGCCACGCATTAGAGAGAGTCCAGAATAGCTTGACCAGAAAGTTAATGATACGGAAATCAGGATTCGTGTATAGTCAACTCCCGGGATTCAGGCTTCGTAATAGAAAGTTTGGTTTAGAAAGCTTAGAAAGAAGAAGGAAAAAGTTTGATCTCATTATGGCACACAAGATGTTATTTGGAGGCTGTCAACTGAATTCAAGCGACTTTTTTGCGCGCAGGAACTCAATAACTAGAGGTGATCCTAATAAAATCGTTCTCGTGCGAACAAGGAGGAATGTAAGGAGAAATTTCTTTGTCAATAGAGTTAGCCGCGACCTTGATAAACTCATAAGAATGAAAATGCTTCCTGTAAAGCTTTCTCGCTTTAAATCTGTCCTCGTGAACTACCTATTTTCTTCCTCTGAATCCTCTTGATCAATCTTGTCGCCTTTTTATTCTGTTTTACCGAAAGCTTCCCTTTTTATACCGAGTGATTAATAGTTGTTGTTTTTTGGTGTTTTTTTGTTGTTGTTTGCTTACATTGTTAACATAGGTTATTATCCTATGTAATAAATACAAATACAACCTTGATGACCCGGGCTGGACCAGGAAAGCCAGGTAATACTATTATAATAAGCGCTGAGGCCGCCCATCTTATTATTTGTGTATATCTATTTGTCAGGGACTTACGGGGGTCAAAAATAGGGTCAAAGGGGAAGTCGTAAGAAATTTTGGCTTCAAAGGGGATATCGTTTTCAAAATTCTGAAATGCCACCTCCTGCCGGGCCCTGATTACATATGCCTTTCGACTCGATCAGGATCCTCCTCCAAAGGTGGTCAGACAGATATCGTTGACAACATCGTTCTTTGTACAGGCATTTAGATAACAGCGTGTACATATGATCTTGTCTTGTTCATAGCGCAATCAGTAATAGGTTTCGCTCGATCTTCAATACATCAGGGCTTTCTTCTGGCTGACCGCATAACTGATGAAGTCGTTTCGTCTTGATGAAATTCGGAATAACTCCTTCACATAAGCAGCGTCGGAGGAAACGAACGGTTTGTTTTTCGGAGAACTTCGTCTTAAGGAAAGGCTTTCCTTCACTAGTCGAAATAAATGTGCTGGGACTTTCTTCAATATTATCCATGTTCGACTGTACTGTACTGATATCTCAGATAGCATATCAAGTGCTTCTCGTGTCTCACTAATTGGCGACGTGCACATCTCTGACAACGCACTTTCACTGTTAAATCAAGGTCCCAGTTTCGCGCCCACTCAGTTTGTTGGACCCAGGGTATCGCGCAAGATTGTGGGAAACCTCCAAGTTTTTCGAGAAGGCCTGCGTCATAAAGCCAATCAGATAGAACGCATAACATCGGAAGCAAATACCACTGATATCAAACTGCCTGTATTGCCGTTTCGACGTTTATTTTACAAACCACAAGAACCCAATCAGGGAGTAGACACTAAGTTCCGTGTATTTGCCACTTCCCTCATTCGGTCTTAAGCAAGTGTAAGAGAGCGCATTTTAACAATAACTTGACGCCTGCCCAACGCCGCGGACTACGTGAAGTTCGAGATCTCTGCGCCGCTGGTAAAATCAAATTATCCATAAGTGACAAAGGAGGAGACTTCGCTGTTTTGTCCCGTGAGCTCGATATCGCTATTACGCAACTCCATCTTGAAGACAGTACAGTGTATGAACCATTATCAGCAGCGGACTTTAAAAGGCAATATCGTCATTTGAACAAAGTTTGGGTGGAGGTAGCCCGATCGGAGGGTATACCAAAAGTTAGTGACTAGCCTAAAGATCAATTTACCCGCTTGCCCAGTGCTGTACACCCTAGTAAAGACACATCAATGCCTCCCAGCGGTCTTCGTTCAAATAACCCACAGAACTTCAAAATCAGACCTATCATTAGCAGTATTGGAGGTCCAACGGATGAGATCGCGTGGTATCTAAATTCAGTACTATCGCAGCTGCTCAAATATGTCCCGTCGCACCTCTCTAATACCGCTACGTTTTTGGATTGCCTACATAATACGCGTGTAGATCAAAGCAGCATTATAGAGTCTTTCGATGTGAATGCACTCTATACGAATGTGTCACCGCGATGCTATGGAAGCTACTTTTGAGCTATTGCAAGAACACGAATCTTCACTTAACTTGCGGCGTTTCTATA